GTTGGTCTCATCCTCTCTACCCATTCGTGCCCCACCTTCTTATTCTTCCCATCCTCCTTTTAGATCTGGCACTGCTCCCATTTCCACCGTTGGCGGCGTCGGTGTTATTACTTCTACTTCTTCTCTGTCTATTGTTCGTCCCACGTCAACCAGGAATGATAATGGTAACAATAATAGTAGTCATTATGAAGAATGTTATACAAGGAAGGCAGTGATTCCTTTCCTGTTGCCGAAGAAGAAGAAGAAGACGGTGGTTGCGTCATCAGATCATCCTTATCATCACGGTGATAATATTGCTTTCAAGAGAAGCAAGTCAAATTCAGCTTCCATTAGAGGCCGGTTCTTGGATGGTGACCATGGTGGGGACTTCAGCCCTAGAAAAAGAACCGGTTTTTGGTCATTTCTCTACCTTTCTTCCAAGACGCATGTTACGAAAAAGCTAGATAAAGTTGCCTCCGTAGCACCACCACCTGCCGCCGTCTCAACGCTGGCGGCAGCCGCAACTGGAGGAGCTTCTTCATCTGGTTCTATCGTGAAGCCGAAGGAGAAAAGCATAAGTTCATCTAGGAAAGGAGGCATTGTTGTAATAGAAGACGGCGATATCCCCCATAACGAAGCAACTCCCTCAGCTGATTTGTCGTTCGAGCGGAAGGTTTCGAGATCCAGGTCCGTCGGCTGCGGAAGCCGGAGCTTCTCAGGCGATTTCCTTGAGAGGATCTCGACCGGGCTCGGAGACTGCACTCTGAGAAGAGTCGAGTCCCAAAGAGAAGGCAAACCAAAAGCTCCCACCGTCGTCGGCGCACCGTCCGCAATGAAAGTAAGGGTCAAATGCGGTGGCATTTTCAGCGGTTTCATCATCACTTCATCGTCCTCGTCGTCGTCATCGTATTGGGTATCTTCTTCAGCGGATGATCGCAACATCAATGGGAGGAGTACTAAGAGCCGTGGATGGGCGTTTGCTAGTCCCATGAGAGCTTTAGCCAAGCCTTCCTCCGGTAAGAAAGATAACAGCACCGTCATTAGAGAATCCGACAACAAAAACACAACCCCAAATCTCTCCGGCATTCCATCATTGTTATTTGTTAGCCGTTAGAAGCTAAAAAGTGAAACTTGCCGGCCATTGGTTCCGGTTTTATTTTCCCTGTTTATGATCTTTTCTTAGAGAGACTATTCCTTTACACCCTTGTTCTTGCTTAATTGTTCCTACTGGTTTTCACATACATCTGCAAATAATTTTATTTTGAACTGTTAATCCGTGATTTCGTTTTTCCCTGATGATATTTGTTATATTCTTAATTACTACAAACACAGTGGGACTGGAAATACTATAGAAGAAGAATTGTTCAAGTGGTTTAAATGCAGAAGATATACTTGATGATTTGTTTTTTTCCCTTCATCACATGGATCTACATGGTTATTTGGTCTTAAGACATATGCATGCCCCTTATATAAGGCTTTTTGACAAAAAAACAAATCATCCTATTAAAAAATTACTACCTATCAAACATCATTTCCTAATTATTTTTCGATCTAACATATTTTTTCAGTAGAGATAATGAGGTGCGTAGCATGAGTAGCGTCTTAACCGAGGGGAGGGGAGGGAAGGCGCGTCCAATGAAAGGTACCTTCCATAGGTTTTATGAATGGTGGTCTTAGGGAACGCTTCTATATTGAGTGGCACATAGTAAGGAATACGCCTCGCCTCCCATGCATGGCGGTTTTAGGTTTAAGATTTTATGTTAAAGTGATTTTAGGGTTTTGTAATTGATTTTTGAGTTTTGTAGTAGTTTATGGTGATATATTTATATGGTTTAGGGGTTTTAAAGAAATTTAGGATTAAATTCATTAAAAAAATTGGGTTTTTTATAAATAATTTTTTCTTTTCTTTTTTATTAAAAATGAATTATTTATTATTATTAAAAAATTAAAAAAAACCGTGGATGCTTAAAAAGTATAATTGAGAAAATGTTATATATATTTTTTTACCGAAAAAAATTCTTAAGCACTAAAATATTTTTCGAGATATAATTTGGACACTTATTTTTATATTAAGCCTAAGTTTTTTCTTGAAAATATATCTTCCAAAAAAGAATAAATTACGTATTTAGTACTTAAAATTTTACTTTTGGTATGTTTTAGTACAGGAACTTTCAATTTTTATAAAATTATACATAAAATTTAATTTTTGTTTCATTTTAGTACCTTAACAGTAAAGCTGATGTGGCATTTTTTCAATTATTTTCTTAAAATTTAAATTATTATTTAAATTATTTATAATTAATTTTATTCCATTAATAAGGAAGTGAAATAGAACAAAGGGAAAATCTCCTAAAAAGAGGCCTACCAAGAATCAAACCTAGGTTACCCTGGGGTAAAACGGGTGCCCAACCATCTAGGCTAAGAATGCCATTGCCATTAATTTGCTAAAGTTTGTATTTAACTTATATAAATTGTAACTATAAAATAAAAGAAATTTATTAGATCTATTATTCGAACTTAAAACGTCTCACAAAAATATTCAAACATTTAACCAATATAAAAATTGATATAATACACACCAAATTATTATTTAACTTAATTAATATTTATTTACTAATTTTTAATTTTTTTAAAAAATTAATTTAAATATTAAATAAATACATACATATAATTTTAAACTACTTATGTTAGAATATAATTTTTAATATTTATTTATTTTCAAAATAATTTAAAACATATATTCTATTATAATAAATATCATAAATTTAATTTTTAAAATAAATTAATATTAATATTATAAAATATATAAATATTTATTTTATTATTTTATTTTAAATTGAAAATGATAAATTATTTAATTTTAATTTAATATTTATAAAAGTTAAACAATAATTTTAGTATGTATTATATCAATTCTTATATTAGTTAAATGTTTGAATATTTTTGTGAGATGTTTTAAGTTCAAATAATAGATATAATAAATTTCTTTTATTTTATAGTTACAGTTTATATAAGTTACATACAAACTTCACCAAATTAGCAATGACATGCCTAGCCTAGATGGTTGGGTGCCCATTTTACCCCCAAGGGAACCCAAGTTCAATTGCTGCTAGCCTTCTTTTAGGAGATTTTCCCTTTCTTCTATTTCTAATGTTACCGCCTTATTAGTTGAATAAAATTAATTAAAAAATAATATAAATAATAATTTAAAATTTAAGAAAATAATTTTAAAAAAAATACTACGTCAGCTCTGTTAAGTTTTTAACAACATGATACTAAAATGAAATAAAAATTAAACTTTAGGTATGATTTTGTAAAAATTTAAAGTTTAGGTACTAAAATGTACAAAAAGTAAAACTTTAGGTACTAACTGCGTTGTTTACCTAAAAAATTGTTTTTATTGAGTAAATCATAACCGACCATCCCCAACCAACACCCTACTATGCAGGGACTGAGCCATAATTAAATATTGGCAAGGGCCGAAATATTAGACTATTTAAGAAAAATATAAAGAGTTATTAGGTATTTAAACTCGAAATTCAGCATGAACCAAGCGACCTTAATGATTAAGGTATTGTTGTTATCCTTGAGGTCCCGAGTTCAAGCACGTATGTAGGGGTATGAGCGTTCATTGTCAAATAGCTAAAAATCTTTGTATATATATTACATTGTATTCACCCTAAATTAAAAAAAAAACCTCAAAAGACAACTTCTAATTTGTCTAATATTTAAACTTACAATGACTTAAATTGTAATTATACCAAAAATTTGAGAACACAAACTTATTATTATTTAGTTCGACCCTTATTGATTAAATATTTAATAAAATTTTATACCTTTTAAATTTAAATTTATATAAACCAAAATACTATTAAACTAAAATTATATTGAATATATAAATTTTAACAGGGTTGGCTCCCTTGTCGCTAAGGTGGAATATACATCTCATGATTTTCATAATTGATTAGATTCAACATAATCATTTATTTAAGGGTAAGGTATAGTAATGGTCACTGAACTTTTCTAAAGCTTTTATTTAGGTTCTCCTAACTTTTAAAACTTGCAATACAGTCCCTCAACATTTAATCTGTTTACAATATGGTCCCCCAACAGTTACATCATGGACCATATTGCAAACGGACTAAATGTTGAGGGATCATATTGCAAACGAACCAAATGTTGGGGGGATTATATTACAAGTTTTAAAAATTGGGGACCTAAATGAAAGCTTTAGAAAAGTTCAATGACCATTACTATACTTTACCCTAAAAATAATTCGGCCGGATGAAATTTAATATTTATGCCATGTTTGATAATTGTTGAAAAAAATATTATTTTAGTGATTTATTGTTGTTAAACGTGTGGTAATTTTAAAAATATTTTATTTTATTTTTTAGAAATAAAAAATTATAGGTAAATTGTTACACATTAATTCAATTTATAATTGATAATTTAAATTTTATTTTGATTATAATGGTAGAAGATTAATTGATGATTAAATTTATCTATAAAAAAATTATTGTGAGATAAGAATTTAATATTGACGACCAAATTTATTTTCTCTATAAACACGCAGTGTGTCTTAATCTCTATATTTACAAAAGGATGATTATTTTAGAGGAATATAACACCTCTTGTTTTGAAGTTTGGTTTGGAATGATTCCACTTAGGGAGAGAAATAATAGTCCAAATTTTTTCATATTTTTCAAATTAGATTATTATTTTATTCTCTTATAACATATATAATTTTTAGATTGTATTTGATATTATCTCTTCAATTAACGTTTATTTAGTTATCTCGTTAACCTAAATTTATTTTAGACCATCTGATTGATTCTCTTGCAACTTCAAAGTTAGAACAAAAGCGAGCACTCAGATTGCCACTTGAAAACCAAGCAGTGAAACTAACTAGACTTGTTGCACGAGAAGAAGAAAAGGTTTATATTTCTTTCAAAAGTTATCTCTACACCCAAGGAAGACTAAGAAATCATATTGAGCTTGATCCTGTTAAAAATTGCAGAACTCCTTGCCTGTTAATCTTTTAAAAAGGATGACCGCTTGAGAGAATGTCTAAGATCTCTGAAGCTAGCTTAAAAGGTAACCAATTTCTTAACTCGTTGTTTTCGTACCTAATCGAACTAAAGAACGATTGGCTATATGTGTTGTAATTTGCTCCATGAGTGACCATGTGAATTGAAATGTAACTCCAGAAACCAGATTACGACACTAAATTTGCAGGCCTAAAGTGCATTTCCCTTTCATGTACTGGATCGAGTGTATGTTACTTTAAGCAACATGACTCCCTGATTATTTTGAGTCCAGGATGGCAATGACAGAGTTAAAAGGGCATTCCAAACCCTGTTGATTTATATCAGAAACGTCGCAAAGAGTCCCGATGAGGAAAAGTTCAGGAAGATCCGACTTGGTAACCCGAAGTTCCAGGTAAGGTGACTTAATCCGATGGAACCACATCGAGACCTTCTCTGTGCTTTTCTTATTTATTTCGTGACGATGAACTTTAATTCAATTCAGGAAAGGGTTGGGAACTTGAAAGGAGGGATTGAGTTCCTCGAGCTTTGCGGATTCGAGAGAAGTGAAGGGAACAAGTTCTTGGTTTCCCCTCGTGATAAAGTTGATATACGGCTGCTTAACTATGCTGGTTCTTTTGTTAAATTCTGCAATGACAAATCCCTTCTTCGGTCTTCTTGAAAAGCTGAAAGAAGATGAGAGTTGTAGTGAATATATGATGTATACAGTGTCCACAAATGAATTAAGGATTAGAATGTTGTGCATCCGAATATTTTTAAGAGTTTACTGGTGTGTGTTCTCCATCTTTTTTGGTTACAATCGAATGCGAAATTAATGACAACAGTCACTAAGCCACACGTTGGCTTCCACGCACATTGCGTGGACCATCCAGCTCCAAAATTTCATGCAATTCGCTCGGTGCCTCAGGGAGTAAGTGAAAGCCACGGGTGACTCTGGAAAGTCTTGTTTCAAACGAGTATAGGCCGAACTTATCGACCAATCTAAAAACATAATTGTTTTTAACAATTAAATCATACTATAACAACCATTAACTATAATGACAACCACAACTATCACCACAATAACAATTTAGTAATATATATACCTTCATAATCAGCATGTAAAGAACAATACACAAACTGCGTCAACCAACTCCACTATTGGTACGCATTGAATGCATTACTCCGTACTTTTTATATTTTTTTATTAATATAATACTTTTTATATTTGAATAATACATTTTAAACGGTCTGGCTGGGTCAACTCCGCTATTCCAATTTAATTTTCAACGCATTAATTTAAAAATAGGGTAAAGTATAGTAATGATTACTGAACTTTTCTAAAGCTTTCATTTAGGTCTCCCAACTTTTAAAACTTGCAATACAGTCCCCCAACATTTATTCCGTTTGCGATATGGTCCACAACAGTTACGTCGGGGACCATATTACAAATGGACTAAATGTTGAGGGACCCTATTGCAAACGAACTAAATGTTGGGGGGATTATATTGCAAGTTTTAAAAGTTGAGGGACCTAAATGAAAGCTTTAGAAAAGTTCAGTGACCATTACTATACTTTACCCTTTATTTAATTCTTTATTATTATTAAATTTTAAAATATAATTTCTTTATTTCAACGACGTTTTCACTCAAAAATTATGCTAACAATAAATAATTACTTGTTAGACATCATTTTTCTAAATATTACCGATCTAGCACCCTTTCTGACAATGTGATAATAAAGCACGTTTCAGGAGACGAACCATGCAGAAGTGGACAAAAGACGTGTTACAGAAAGTGAGCATTCTTAGGGTTCTGTTCGAGCTGACGCCACAATAGAAAAGCGCGAATGATGAAGCGCGAATGATGAAGCGCGTCTTCACTAGGTTTTCTGACACGAGGGGAAGGCGAGAGTCATGAGGTGCACTTTCCATTATTCCCCTTCAATTATTGCCTCCACCATTATTACCCTAACTATCCTGACCAATACTCCTCCCCCTCCCCCATATAAATACCTCTATGAATTCAAATATCAAATCACACCAAAATTACTTCACATTATTCCTTCTATCAATTCCTTCTATCAAGCTAAGTAGATTTTGTTACAGTTTTTAGAAGGTAAAATTATTATTTTTATTATATTATATTTATTTCATATTTAATTATTTGATCAAATTTTATTGTACTACTTATTTTTTATTAATTTTTATAATTATAAAATGGAAGACGGGATCATATCTCAAGATATTGTCGATAAGTTAACAATATTAAATTGTGTTATTTAAATTATTAAGAATATATTTTTTAATTTTTTAGTATTAGTTTATATTTTAATTCGTATATTATTTATTTAATTGAGAATGATCATTTATTAGAAACAATTATTTGTTTTTACAGATATAAGACTCTCAATCTTTCAAACTATCAAACTCTCAAAATGAAGCGTATTTCAACTATTGTTTACTATAATGGAGAAATTCGAGAAGATGAAATTGACGTTGTCTTCGCATCAAATCATTATGTCACCTTATCCTTCAAGAGAAACATCACTCTTGAGGAGTTGATTACTAAAGTTTCAAGGAAGGTTCATGTTGAGAGTACTAGAATATTGTCCTCACTTCAGTACAAATTTCCAACCGCACTAATTTCGTTAACTTATACAACATTCATACTCTCCACGTTGGATCCATAGGCATGATAGTATAATATCCACCATGAGATGTCATAAAACCTTGCGGTGGCATCTGAACTGGATGTGATGGCATTAGAAACGATTGTGGTGCCATCTGAAATGGTTGCGGTGCCATCTGAACCGTCGGTGTACCCATGTATAGTGGCGGGTTGAGAATGTAAACCAGTGTAGATGATGGCTGCTATGATGGTTTTGGTGCTACAAATGAGGATGAGCGGAAGCATCTGCTCTCCATCCACAAGTCGAGGGGACGATGATGCTGTGACGATTGACGCTTTCCTCGGCGCCAATGAATGCTCCCTCATCGTGCTTCCTCGAAAAGTAAGAATGATTTCTCGTTCGTGTTGAACCACTGATAGTAGTCAGCCACAACCGAATAATGATCCACATAAATCGGCTCCCTAGGGGGAATGCTTCACCAGCTCATTGACATCCTTTTTTCCCCATATATCGACGTTATGCATATTGTCGAGATTCCTAAGTGCTTCAGGAATATATTGTACGGAACCAAATTGGCGGAGCACGCTATCAGTAGGATGCCATTTGATAATAGCATAACATATCAGAAGGACCACCACCATCCATACATCTAATGAGTCACTCAAGTGAGGTGGGATGCAAAGCCTCATTTCTTGAGTACAATAAGAAGTCCATTGAAACTAAAAATATATATATAATTCTTATCAAAATAATATTCTAATTATATAATGACAATTAAAACTAAATATATATATAATTCTTATCAAAATAATATTTTAATTATATAATGACAATTAAAGGTAAATAATAAAATTTAAATACATACCTCTGTACTAGCCTTCTGATCAATGAGTAGCCGAATTTCTTCCAATTCGTCTGGTATATCACAATGATTTTTCCTAGTACATGACCACCTATTCAATGTAAAAAAATATTTCATTATATACTCAAAAAAATTATTTATATACAAACTCAGTATTGATATTTCCTCAACAATAACGGGAAGACCGATAGATTATGTGATACCACACCCATGACTGGAGAAGAAATGTCAAAACTACGGAGCCCTAACTGAGTGAGTCGGCAATGTGAAAATCATCGAGGTGACACAACCATATACAATGAACTTGGTTGCGAGATTTGTCGGGCATCAAGATCCCTCCTATGAGTTGTAATATGCAAGCCCAGACAAATATTTTAGCCTCTTCCTCATAACAATCTTCACTCAAATGTTAAAAATTTGTAACCAACCATGTTAATGGTATTCTACTACCGTTGAATTTATGTGGGATATCTCCAAGATACACATTGCACAAGGAATGCCAATCACCATCCGCCACACCAGAAAAAACATCCCCGTCTACCGGATGCCCCAAAATGTATGGAAACATCCTCCAGCATAATAGTGCACTCCCTACATGGAAGATGAAATATGTGTGGGACTAGTCTCCATCTCTCAATCAGTGCAGAAATAAGATTGGTTTCAAGGTTACAGTGCCTTTCATATTTCACTATGTAACCGAATACAACCTCGGCTAAATACAGTCAAACAAGACTCAGTATATCTAACTTAGTGTTACGAATAAATATATATATAATATACAATCAATACCCTAATTAAATAAATAGTATAAAAATTAAAATATAAACTAATGCTAAATATATAAATAAATTAAATATTCACAATAGTTAAAATAACATAATTTAAAATTAGTATCGTATCGATAAAATGACTAGATATGATTCCCATATAAACTCAACAATCTACCTTCCATTTTATAACTGTAAAAAGTAATAAAAAATTAGTATAGTAAATTATAATAAAATAACAAACTTAAATGATTATAATATAATAAAAAAAATATCTTCTAAAAACGATAACAAAACCTACTTAAAGCTTGATAGAATGATTGATAAAACGAAGAATGAGAGTATTTTTGAGTGGTTTGAGGGTTGTATGAAGGGGTATTTTATAAGGGGAGGGGGACCGGTCGTCCAATTTTTTCCCAAATCGGTTATACTATACGGTTTTTAAATATCTGATCCGGTTTAAAAAACCAGTTTTTCCCAAATTCAGTTTCGGATATTTTTTTACGCAAAATCAGATATTCGGATTTTTTGTTCACCATTATACGAGACTCTCAAACTTTTTTTTTTAAAAAAAGAAACTTGAGAAGCCCTGAAATAAGCCCATCAACTTGAGCATACATTTGTAATTTCAATATTTCAATATGATTAATATATTTTTAATATAGAATTGATGTCAAATCATAGTTTTGTGAAAGTACTTGTATTTCTCCTAATCGGTTGTCCACTAGATGTGGTGCTTCTTGCCCAATATATTCACACGATTCTCACACTAAAAGGGTTACTCGTATCTTTCTGTAAATTAATAGAGTAAGACTTATATTTAATTTTATCAAGATAATAATCTAGTTTTCTTTCATACATAGGTTTAAGTACTATTGTGGACTGTGATAGGTAGATCCATCAATATATTATTATTCTGAAAGTATGATCTTACATAAGTTCACAATAGGATCCAACAATATATTATTATCTGAAAGTATGATCTTTCATACATAGGATCTAGTATTTCACAATTATGCATATTTGTATTACTGAAATCTTATATTTAGTACTTTTTATATAGTTTCTACTATCAATATACTTACGTGTATATCATTATGGACTTTATTGAGTGGATTTTACCTACTATGTAATTTATTTAAAGTAACATATGAGTTGGGTCTAGAGGTCATATGATTTTTTTTTGTCTGAAATGAGTATTTACTTATTAAATAAACTTAATTACCAAGTATTCTTCAACTATTAAACTAACAATAAAATCTAATTATTAATTAAAATTTTAATGAATATCTAACGTATTCTTCAATGCTCCAACCGACGCATTCATTGGGTCAGCTGCGAGAACGTGTTTTAGCTGAAATCCTCGGGTGGCCTTGGGCTGGTAGATATAAGATTAAAGAACAGGGCATTCCTTCATAGACGG